AATGCACCGTCCTAGGTGCCCCCCATTGGCCCGCAAGCAATCGAGGAGGTCCTGGCTGCAAAAATCACTGATCTAAGGAGAATGCAGGACAGGATTGACAAGATTGATGCCCATGATGCTCTCTTACTCCTCACAAGATGCCTGTCTCTCCCTAAGTTGACCTACTTTCTGAGATGTTCTCCATCCTACAGCAGCCCTAAATTAAATGTGTATGACACCCTTCTGAGGTCCATGCTGGTGAAAGTCCTAAACCTTCCATTGGACAACTCGCAATAGGAGCAAGCAACTTCTCTGTAAGACTCGGCGGCCTTGGTGTCTGCACAGTCTCCCAGATTGCTCTACCAGCCTTTCTTTCCCCCCGTTCATCGCACGACCTCGTAAGAGATATCCTACCTGAACCCCTGAGAGATTTAGCAGGAATACACGATCCTGCTTTCACTTCAAATCAGTGGGTTGCTCTTTGAATGTTCCCACTGATTTGAATGTTCAAATCAGTGGGATGCTCTTGCAGCCCCAGCACCCATCATAGATCCAATAAATAAACATAAAAAACAGTCCAGCTGGGACCACCCACTAGTGGAAAAAACAGCTGATGCCATGCTCAGCGCTGCATCATCACACAAGGAGACAGCCCGCTTCAGAGCAGTGCATGGCCCCCATGCAGACTTCCTCCTGGCAGTACCCCATGTCGGCAATAGGCACGCGTCTAGATCCAGAATCCCTTCATGTAGCAGTGGCCCTCCGCCTTGGTGCCCCAATTCACACTGAATACAAGTGTATTTGCAACAGGGTGGAAGCAGACCAATATGGACTGCATGAGTTACATTGCGGAAAATCCAAGGGCTGGCATGCAAGACACAACGAGGTTGATGACATCATCTAGAGGAGCCTTGTCTCGGCTCAGTGCCCAGTGGAGAGAGAACCTCGCATCCTAAGAGGCCAAAACCCGGATGACCCCGCACTTCGCCCAGATGAAATCACAATATACTCCTTGATGAGAGGGGCAGACAGTTGGTGTGGGACTACACATGTGTATCCACCCTGGCTGACACCTACATACACTTCGGTGGTGATCAAGCAGGTGGGGCGGCCAACCACAGGGAAACAGCAAAATCACTCAAGTACAGCCGACTGAAAGGTCAATACACCTTTGTTCCCATAGCGTCTGAGACGCATGGCCCCCAGGGTAGGCGTACCTTGGGATTCCTCAAAAAATTGGGTTCCAGGCTCATTGAAATCACCAGAGACCCAGGGGCCTCCAGTTTCCTGTTTCAGCGCCTCAGTGTAGCGATCCAGAGGGGAAACGCCTGCTGCGTCCTCGGTTCCTGTCCGGAATCGGAGGAGCTCCAAGAGATCTATAACCTTTAAACCCATTGTATTAACTAATGTACATCTTGTAACCTTTAAATATCTTGTAACCTTTTAAATATCTTTAAATATCGTTCTTCACCGATTGCTTTAGAATTTTCACACAACGTTCCATTCGCATCCGAGCAGGTTTTTATATATATACCATATAGCTGTCACGTTTGTGACGGAAAAAAAATCATGATTTTTCTGAAAAACTGTGTTTTTCATGTGAGGGAAATCTTCGAAACCTCTTTACCGATTGCTTTTAAATTTTGACACAACGTTGCATTCCAATAGGCGCGTCTTTCTATATACCTACTATATAGATGCCACCCCTGTGACAGGTAAAAACATGCGTTTTTAAAAAACAGCGCCATCTGTTGCACATAATGGCAACATGCACGGTATACTAAATATTTCACGAATTCCATTTCAATGTTTCCGATTGCATTGATAAATTTTATTTTCATAGATTTCTATTTATTTTTTTTATTAAATTATTTTGTGTGACATTGTGTTGGAATTGAGCTGTGTTGTTTACCATACCATTCATTTCATAAGTATAAGTATAGATGCCACACCTGTGACAGGTAAAACTGCTTTTCTTGAAAAACAACGCCATCAGTTGTATGTAAGAGCAACACACATGCTATACTAAATATGTTACAATTCCATTTCAGTGTTTCTGATTGCATTGATAAATTGAATTTTCTTAGATTTTGATTTATTTTAATTTTGATTTAATTATTTTGTGTGAATTGCGTTGAAATTGAGCTGTGTTGTTTAAAATACCGTTCATTTCGTGAGTATAGTTTATATATTTATTTTTTCATATTTTCATTTAATTTTTTAGCTGTTTTTCTTATATTTCAGTGATGGGAACATCAGAAAATTTGAGAAGGCATCAAATGAGGGAGTGGGGAATGGTGGGGATGACGAGGGAACGGAAGTGAGAGATAGTGGGGAGGACGAGGGGACAAGGGAGGGGGGTAATGGTGGGGAAGGACGAGGGGACGGGGGAGTTTGGGATGGTGGGGACGAGGAGATGGGGGAATGCAGAATGGTGGGGGAGAACAAAGGGACAGGGGATTGGGGCACGGTGGGAAGGAAGAGGGGATGGTGGAGTGGGGAATGATGGGAAGGAAGAGGGGATGGTGGAGTGGGGAATGATGGGAAGGACGAGGGGATGGTGGAGTGGGGAATGATGGGAAGGAAGAGGGGATGGTGGAGTGGGGAATGGTGGGGAGGACTGGGGGACAGGGAAGGTTGCTGTGGCTCAGCAACACACATGCGTTGCTAACCTCACATACATGCTGTTTCATCATACATGATGAAATGGATAGCTTTATCATTTCATGAGAAAAAAAATCGAAAAAATATGTAAAAAAAAAAAATCAGGAAAACAATGCTTATTAGGCAAATCGGGCCTTGCATAGTAGGCCGAGTGCTGCGGTCTGGCTACTAGGTACAACATATATATATATATATATATATATATATATATATATATATATATATATATATATATATATATATATATATATATATATATGCCTTGCTCTATGAGGAGCAATATTGGTTTTGAGGTGCTTCTCTTGCGTTTCAATTATGAGAGTTTTCTGGGAGTTTGTCTGTATACCATTAAGAAAGCATTGTAATGATTGGAGTATTATGATTCTGGTGTAATAACTCTCACTGGCTGTGCAATAGTGTTAAAAGCCCGAGCGTGCCTTCAGGGCTGCCGGGTGGTGTGTGTGTGTGTGTGTGTGTGTGTGTGTGTGTGTGTGTGTGTGTGTGTGTGTGTGTGTGTGTGTGTGTGTGTGTGTGTACTCAGTTCAAGAACAAATATTATTGCCGCCATCCTGTAGTTTTTTTTTTATTTCAATGACTGTTTTTTTATATTTTGCATTTGCCACATGCAATTGCATTTTTCTGTACCCGTCTTTTGATATGTCCTCATACTTGCCTGGCGATAGTGATCGTATGATGGCTCTTCTTTTTCTCAAGCGGTCAACTCGAATCATTTTTTCAGTTTCTGTAAAGGCGGCGTTCTGTAGTGCCCGCGATTATTTTGTAGTGTATAGTGTGTCCCCGGTGATGTGTTCCCCGGTGATGTGTTCCCTGGTGATGTGTTCCCCGGTGATGTGTTCCCCGGTGATGTGTTCCCTGGTGATGTGTTCCCTGGTGATGTGTTCCCCGGTGATGTGTTCCCCGGTGATGTGTTCCCTGGTGATGTGTTCCCTGGTGATGTGTTCCCTGGTGATGTGTCCCCTGGTGATGTGTTCCCCGGTGATGTGTTCCCCGGTGATGTGTCCCCTGGTGATGTGTTCCCTGGTGATGTGTCCCCCGGTGATGTGTTCCCCGGTGATGTGTTCCCTGGTGATGTGTTCCCTGGTGATGTGTTCCCTGGTGATGTGTTCCCCGGTGATGTGTTCCCCGGTGATGTGTTCCCCGGTGATGTGTTCCCTGGTGATGTGTTCCCCGGTGATGTGTTCCCCGGTGATGTGTTCCCTGGTGATGTGTTCCCCGGTTATGTGTCCCCGATGATGTGTTCCCTGGTGATGTGTCCCCTGGTGATGTGTTCCCCGGTGATGTGTTCCCCTGGTGATGTGTTCCCCGGTGATGTGTTCCCTGGTGATGTGTTCCCTGGTGATGTGTTCCCCGGTGATGTGTTCCCCGGTGATGTGTTCCCCGGTGATGTGTTCCCTGGTGATGTGTTCCCTGGTGATGTGTTCCCCGGTGATGTGTTCCCCGGTGATGTGTTCCCCGGTGATGTGTTCCCTGGTGATGTGTTCCCCGGTGATGTGTTCCCCGGTGATGTGTTCCCTGGTGATGTGTTCCCCGGTGATGTGTTCCCCGGTGATGTGTTCCCCGGTGATGTGTTCCCCGGTGATGTGTTCCCTGGTGATGTGTTCCCCGGTCATGTGTTCCCCGGTGATGTGTTCCCCGGTGATGTGTTCCCCGGTTATGTGTCCCCGATGATGTGTTCCCTGGTGATGTGTCCCCTGGTGATGTGTTCCCCGGTGATGTGTTCCCCTGGTGATGTGTTCCCCGGTGATGTGTTCCCCGGTGATGTGTTCCCCGGTGATGTGTTCCCCGGTGATGTGTTCCCCGGTGATGTGTCCCCTGGTGATGTGTCCCCTGGTGATGTGTCCCCTGGTGATGTGTCCCCTGGTGATGTGTTCCCTGGTGATGTGTCTCCTGGTGATGTGTCCCCTGGTGATGTGTTCCCGGGTGATGTGTCCCCTGGTGATGTGTTCCCTGGTGATGTGTTCCCTGGTGATGTGTCCCCTGGTGATGTGTTCCCCAGTGATGTGTTCCCTGGTGATGTGTTCCCTGGTGATGTGTTCCCCGGTGATGTGTTCCCTGGTGATGTGTCCCCTGGTGATGTGTTCCCTGGTGATGTGTTCCCTGGTGATGTGTCTCCTGGTGATGTGTCCCCTGGTGATGTGTTCCCTGGTGATGTGTTCCCTGGTGATGTGTTCCCCGGTGATGTGTCCCCTGGTGATGTGTCCCCTGGTGATGTGTTCCCCGGTGATGTGTTCCCTGGTGATGTGTTCCCGGTGATGTGTCCCCTGGTGATGTGTTCCCTGGTGATGTGTTCCCCGGTGATGTGTTCCCCGGTGATGTGTTCCCCGGTGATGTGTTCCCTGGTGATGTGCCCCAGTGTTGTGCCCCAGTGATGTGTCCCCAGTGTTGTGTCCCCAGTGATGTGTCCCCGGTGATGTGTCCCCGGTGATGTGTCCCCAGTGATGTGCCCCAGTGATGTGCCCCAGTGATGTGCCCTAAGTAATGTGCCCCAGTGATGTGCCCCCAGTGATGTGCCCCAGTGATGTGCCCCCAGTGATGTGCCCCAGTGATGTGACCCCAGTGATGTGCCCCAAGTGATGTGCCCCCAGTGATGTGCCCTAAGTAATGTGCCCTAAGTAATGTGCCCCAGTGATGTGCCCCCAGTGATGTGCCCCCAGTGATGTGCCCCAGTGATGTGCCCCAGTGATGTGCCCCAGTGATGTGCCCCCAGTGATGTGCCCCAGTGATGTGCCCCCAGTGATGTGCCCTAGTGATGTGCCCCCAGTGATGTGCCCCAGTGATGTGCCCCAGTGATGTGCCCCCAGTGATGTGCCCCCAGTGATGTGCCCCCAGTGATGTACCCCAGTGATGTGCCCCCAGTGATGTGCCCCCAGTGATGTGTCCCCAGTGATGTGCCCCAGTGATGTGCCTCCAGTGATGTGTCCCCAGTGATGTGCCCCAGTGATGTGCCCCCAATGATGTGCCCCAGTGATGTGCCCCCAGTGATGTGCCCCCAGTGATGTACCCCAGTGATGTGCCCCCAGTGATGTGCCCCCAGTGATGTGCCCCCAGTGATGTGCCCCCGGTGATGTGCCCCCAGTGATGTGTCCCCAGTGATTGTGCCCAGTGATGTGCCCCCAGTGATGTGCCCCCAGTTATGTGCCCCAGTGATGTGCCCCCAGTGATGTGCCCCCAGTGATGTGTCCCCAGTGATTGTGCCCAGTGATGTGCCCCCAGTGATGTGCCCCCAGTTATGTGCCCCAGTGATGTGCCCCCAGTGATGTGCCCCCAGTGATGTGCCCCCAGTGATGTGTCCCCAGTGATTGTCCCCAGTGATGTGCCCCCAGTGATGTGCCCCAAGTGATGTGCCCCAGTGATGTGCCCCCAGTGATGTGTCCCCGGTGATGTGTCCCCAGTGATTGTCCCCAGTGATGTGCCCCCAGTGATGTGCCCCCAGTGATGTGCCCCAAGTGATGTGCCCCCAGTGTGCACCTTGGCACTCACAGCTGACACCAGTGAGGGTGGGTGTAAATATGTGTATATATAATATACAGGAGAGATATACACCTGGACAGGTAAATAACTTCCATCTCTGTGTATATTTCAGTCTTCGGATGTTTCATTAGACTATGACTTCGTTCAATGACGTTCAAGTGTTAGGTTAAATCACTCGGTATTTTCTTGAACAATCAAGAACACTATATAAAATCGATTACATATATATATATATATATATATATATATATATATATATATATATATATATATGTGTGTGTGTGTGTGTGTACTCACCTATTTGTGCTTGCGGGGGTTGAGCTTTGGCTCTTTGGTCCATGTGTGTGTGTGTGTGTGTGTGTGTGTGTGTGTGTGTGTGTGTGTGTGTGTGTGTGTGTGAGTGAGTGAGAGTGAGTGTGTGTATCACGAAAATAAACACGTGATTAAAAATGTGACAGTGTCAGACCACGGAGGAAAATTGAAACAGGAATTTCCTTAAGTACTTTCGTATATTAATACATCTTCAGAAGGAGTGGTTTTACAGGTCGAGTACTGGACATAAATAGGCAGGAGAGAATGGTGGAGTGAGGTGAGGTACAATACGTGGACACTGCAGACGGCCTATTGGCCCATCCGATGCAGCCCATTGGCCCATCCGATGCAGCAACCACACACAGGCACACACATGGATAATTATAGCATAAAATAGTAAATATTTACAATGAATTAGTGAGACAAATGTGTTCCAATGATCCTACATAAATCGCCCTTTAATTGATCTATTAAAAATGGATCTAAGTTATATAGACCACTACTAATGTTCAAATTACTTTCTTTTGTGATCTGTATCAAAGCAGATTCAATTATGTTTCTGTTATAGGTGCTTTTACAATTCGTTATTGAAGAAGCCATCTCCCAATCAATTTGGTGAGCATCTTCTGACAGATGAACAAACAAAGCATTAGACAATTGGCCGTGTCTTAAAGAGTATTTATGTTGCGAAATTCTACATTTCAAATCTTTAGATGTTTGCCCAACATAGAACTTATTACAGTCTTTACAAGGTATTTATAAATGACACAATTATCACTACGAGGGCTGTTCCTAACTAATAGCTTACCAACAGTATTTTCGTAGCTAAACAATACATTTATATTAAAAAGTTTCAAGGCCTTGACAATATTCTCAAACCCAGAGAAATATGGTAAACATAACACATTCTTTGGGCGAATTATTTCACTGCATATATTATTATAATATATGCAGGGGACAAATATAACCTTTCATACATGTGTATACTTCAGTCACGTGACCTCTTACTCTTCGTCGTTCTAGATAATGTAAGTTAAGGTTTATAATCTCTTCTGCAGTTTTGTTAATTATTATGTTCTTATACTCCAATGTATAGCTTTCATGTGCAACAGGTCGGTGGAGCTGGGAAGCCTGCCAGAGAGTTGGAGGACGGCAGGCTGACACCAGTACACCAGACTGTGGGCACGCACGATGCATTACACCACAGAACTACGCCACTAATGTGGGTAGACCATGTCAAGAACAACATGGTGAACGAACAAATATTTTTAAAACACAATAATTACTGGTTCGAGGAAACCAAATCCTGGCCAGATGGTGTGATAGAACAGGTTCCCCTGAAGGATAGATCTGCCAGGGGTGAGACAGTCGCCCGTCTGCCTCACTGTGAGGGAGACGTCTCCCTCACACGTCTCTCACTGTGAGGGGAGGGGGAGGGGACCTTTAGCGGAGTAAAACTTGGCATCCCAGAAAGTTTGTTTAGTTATTCAAGGTCGGAAGCTTTCTTTTATACCCAGGAGCTCATAACCCCTGTGTATGCAAATCACCTGAAAAAAAATACTCTTTTTTTCATGTTGATGGTAGTAGAGAACGCGACAATAATGAGGAGAATGAGAACAAACGATGATTGGAAGTAATCAAAAACTTGTGGCTACTTGATTTAAACTCCATTAATTGCAAGGTAATTTGTAATGGAGGCAAGAAGAAGGACGGGCAAAAGAAACAGGCTACAGGACCTCAGTAGCCGGTCACCTGCTTGTTACCCAGCCCGACAAACGGTACAACCACAGCGCCCTGTTTAGAGTAATTAATTACAGCTTGCATGACTCAGGCCATCGTAATTATATAATGAATCTCATAATGTGTTTATGGAGTGAGTGAATGTGCCAGCATGTTGGTGGCAGAGTAACATTACAGTAACATCGCTTTACAGTCCTGGGACCAGATTCACGAAAGCACTTACGCAAACACTTACGAACCTATACATCTTTTCTCAATCTTTGGCGGCTTTGTTTCCAATTATTAAACAGTTAATGTGCTCCGAAGCACCAGGAAGCTGTTTATAACAATAACAACAGTTGATTGGGAAGTTTTCATGCTTGTAAACTGTTTAATAAATGTAACCAAAGCCGTCAAAGATTGAGGAAAGATGTACACGTTCGTAAGTGCTTGCGTAAGTTCTTTCGTGAATCTGGCCCCAGGTTTGCACCGCCCCAAGACGTAGCATCTCCGTTTCCTTCCTTCCAGTAACATTAACACACAGGCCACCTTACTCTTGACCAATGGCGTCGTAGGTCTCAGTCACAATCTATATATATAAGTGTTCAGAGGACTGATCAGATGTTAGTTTGGTACAAGGAGGCGAGGAGGGAGGACGCTACACACGCACCTGATAGTTTTCAGTCGACTGCGTGTAGATGCTACATACTGACTGGCGTCTCCTGAGAAGGGAGAGTGCAGGAGCTGAAGACGGTAGTCGCGTCACGCTGCAACAGACCGAGGTCACCAACATGATATCATGGTATCATGATATCATGATATCATGCAGAAGCTGTATAACCATCAATATTCCTCGCAGCTCATCTGAAGTTCACAAGATATCTCACTCAACATTGAGCATCATACTATGCTATAACAACATAACGGAGTTGCCACATATGAGGCCCATATGTGGTAATACCAATACACCCACACTCATTCAGTCATATGTCTAACCTACGCTTTAAAGCAATGCCACTAACGTACATATATATTATTAGGACATGGTACAGTTTAGCAAGGTCTTACACATTTCCAGCGAATACTATAAATCCAATATACTCATGTTCTCCTGTGACGATGTAGACGCCATCTGTTGAGCGCACCCGACCCCAATTCTATTCGGAGGGCAGATGTGCCGATGTCAATGCCATCGGGTCACTTCGGGCACTAGGCAAGCAGACAAGCCTGGCACTGAGGCAGCAGACAAGCCTGGCACTGAGGCAGCAGACAAGCCTGGCACTGAGGCAGCAGACAAGCCTGGCACTGAGGCAGCAGACAGGGGGTAGCAAGGTCTGCAGTCAATAATATTGCAGAAGAGCTTTATACTCGTCCAATCGCCTGAGAGCCAATTTGGCTGAAAGTTGAAGCTGTTGCCATGTAAATATTTTACAGAATAAGAATGAAGTTATTGAGGCAGCAATTAGACGCGCGGACGTGCGTAAGGTCAGGGCGGGGAACAAAAGACAACTCGCGGCAAGCATATGCGAAGACTTCTACGATCCGTGATTTTTAATTAGCGAGGTCATTAATTAATTCAAGGCGTGTGTGTGTGTAGACTGTTTGGTTGTTAGTGCGAGGCGGGGCTCTGGTGGCCAGCAAGGTCAGGCTTGGTGTATAGTGTATACACTATACACCTAGGCATGGTCTTATAGTGTGTATGGTTTTATAGTGTATGGTCTTATAGTGTGTGTGGTCTTATAGTGTGTGGGAGGACCAGACTGTGGTCCTCTTTCTGTCTCTCTCTCTCTCTCTCTCTCTCTCTCTCTCTCTCTCTCTCTCTCTCTCTCTCTCT